AAAATACATCGCCCCCCATCGGCTGGGCGGCCCCCTCTCCCCTCAAAAATGCCTCCCGACGGACCGCCGGCTCCTTGCCCTTATGTGGCGTTATTTCAGCTTTCCTTTGGCCCGGACGGCGAAAGGGGAATTTCTGAACGCGGCGGCTTTTAAACGGCCTCGGCAAAGCCAGACTCGCTCCTTTGCCCAAACGTCCCTCCAGCCGGGAAAAGAAAAGATTCCCACCGAGGGCGTCGGGCGAAAAGGCAGGCAAGCGCGAGAGCTCCTCCGCCAAGGCTACGCTGCGTGCCCAGGCTCTACGAAGGCAGGCCTAATTGCAATTAAAGATTAAATCCGCTTCTGGCCTTCCCCTCGTCTTCTGCTCTATCGTAAGGCAAAGCTCACCACGAGTACGCGCCGGCCTGAGCCTCCCGCCTACTAACCCTGTGGCCCCCGTCAGCCTTAAAAGGATTCCCCGCTATTTCCCCCCCACTCCCCAAAAACGATCCCGGCGTCCCAGCTCTGCTGCTCTTCGCCTGCCCGTTCTTTCTAACGGGCAAAGGGCAACGGCCCGAGCGCAGGAGTTTGAGCGCGCCCAAACGGCTCCAGATGAGCCGTGCAAAGCCGCCAAGAAGGCAAAAAGACGGGAGCTCGGAGGGCCAAGTCACGGGAGAGATGTTTGAAACGCTGGACAGGCTGCAAAGCCAAAAAGCAACGAGTTCCCGCTGGGTCGAGACTGAAGTTTTGATGAGGATTGGATGTTAAAAACAATAAACCAAAGCAAAGAGAAGAGCAACAGCAATAGCTATTACTAGCACTAAAGGCAAGAATTTAACCGCGTTTTTCCTCCCGAGGCTTGCAACGCAATTCACTCAATCAGCTGATTTTCTGCAGCCGCTAAAACCGAAGCAAAGCGAGAAAAGTTGCTCGGGAGGGGAAAAAAAAAAGCAGTTGGAAAGGACAGAATCGGGCTGCAAAACCGCGAGAGCTACTCTGCCCACACACGTTGCCTCGCAAAGGCAAGACCTACTCGATTCAGATGCGCAAAACCCCTCGGCGAGGCTCAAAGTTCGGCTGACAAAACCGCGCGGCCCAGGCTTCCCGCAGGAAAGGGAGCGGGAAGAACGAGGCGCAGGGGAACGGCGCCGTCCGGCGCGGAGCCGTCGGCGATGCCCGGCAAAGCAAGATGGGTCAAAAAAATAAAAGCACCTTTGGGAAACCCGTCCCTTGCAAAGAGCGGCGTCGGGACGCCGGGGAAGACGGGCGCGCTCTGGCTGAGCGCCGACGATGCCGTCGGCGTTGCAAGAGGGCAAAGCGCTGAGGTTTTCCCGCACGAGGAGGGAAGGCGTTTTTCGCAGCTCCG